CCACACCTCCCCCCCACATGTACACATACACACACACACACACACACACCACCACCCCACCACCACACATGTCCACACATACACATACACACACCACACCACCACACATGTCCACACACACACGCATACGCACAGTTCACCACCATACATGTCCACACACACATACACACATACCCCAAACCACAACCACCACACATGTACACCCCACATACACACACACAAAACCACCACCACACACACACATACATACACACACCACACCACCACACATGTCCACACACACACGCATACGCACAGTTCACCACCATACATGTCCACACACACATACACACATACCCCAAACCACAACCACCACACATGTACACCCCACATACACACACACAAAACCACCACCACACATGTCCACACATACACACACCACACCACCACACATGTCCACACACACACGCATACACACACAGTTCACCACCATACATGTCCACACACACACACATACCCCAAACCGCAACCACCACACATGTACACCCCCCACACACACACACCAAACCACCACCACACATATACACCCTCACACTCACACACATACCAAACCACCACCACACATGTACACCCTCACACACACACATAACAAACACCACCACACATGTACACTCACACATACACACATAAAACCATCACCACATATGTACACACACACACACACCAAACTATCACCACACATGTACACACACAACAATAAACAAACAATTAGACTTGCCTCAAATTCTAAAGAATATTTCCTAAGGATAAGCCCTTAGTGGTTTGGTTGACCAAAACCATTAAAAATAAAAAAGAGGTGTAAACCAAAGGTTCTTGCCTTAAGATACCACTGAATCTAATCTTCCTGCCGCTTCACTAGTAGCTGTGTGCCTCTCAGTGCATTCACTAGGCAGAAATTCAATCTGGTCACTAAACACGACCAGGTCCTTCTTGTCCCAGACCAACTCATCTGAGCGGTGAACACAGCTTTCGGTTAGCCATTCCGGAAAAGGCAGGATCCGGAGCAGGACTGAAGGGGAAGCTGGGATGGTTGGTGGGAAGCTCCCAGATGGACAGGAGCAAGTGGAGTGAGTTGAAGTTCATCATGAGGACCTTCTGTCTGGGCTGTGGGGTCCTTGCAAACAATCCGCGGCTGAAATTCCTTCCTTTTCTGTGTATGTGATTTTCTATCTCAGGATAAATGACATGAATGATGCTCTTTTAAAAGGAGGAGATATTTGTCAATGTCACAGGGTTCCAACTAGGGGAGTGAACTGTGAAAGGCTGAGAATGGAGGGGAGAAGCAGGGTCTTTGAGGCCAGAGGCCAGGGACACTGCCCAAGAGGCCAAGGAGTTAAATAAGGACGAGGGCCAAGTCTGCAGAGTGGGCGGTAGGTGAGAGACAGGAGGAGGATGAACCGGGAGAGGGCTTCGAGGGTTCTCAGCTTGAAGAACTGAGAGTTGGGAGAGGGAAGCTGACAGGCTCATTTCTGTGTAAGGAAGGGAGTGGGTGTGGTTTTGACAGGCTTATTATTAGGTACAGAAGGAACAGCACACAGGAGGTGCAGAAAGAGGGGAGACAGGAATGAGCTGGGCCCAGTCAGCGGGTAGCTCAGCCTAGAAGCAGCTGGGGAGAGGGAGGCTGGACCCTGACATGCAGCCTTGGGGTAACTCAGAGGGTCCCTCTTCTCTGGAAACAGGCACCTCCCCCTGAAGGTTCAGCTCTGAGAGGATGGAGAAAGGAGGGGAAAGAGGTGACCGACAGCCCCAAGTGAGGAAGAGAGCGAAAAGAGAAATGAGAGACCAAACGGTTGTTTCCCCAAAAGGGAGCGCAGGCGGAGGGGCAGGGCCCCTGGTAACACCAGAGCTACCTGAGGTGCCTGCAGGCAGGCCCTGGGCTAGGTTGCTTTACAGACACAGTAGCCCCTGTCTTTCCTGTAACTCATGCAGAGGGTCCAGAGCGTTCCCAGATCACCCAGGGCAATGGTTTGCTGCACTCAGAATAATCAAGAGCTTGTTCATTTAACCACCAAGCTCAGTGGCTGCCCAGTTCACAGACTCACCCCTTCACCTCTTCTAGGTTCTGTTAAGTCAGCCCAGCCAGGACCCCCAAAGCTCCACTGAGTGCACTTTCTGTAAGTGCTGATTCTTCACGCAGCCTCTACATGTGGGGAATATAGGCAGTTCCTGCTTCTTCTGTCGTTCTCTGTGTATTTACCATGGCTCCTAAGAGGTTTTGCTTTTTCTAGTTAATTAAAAGAGAGAGAGGTTCACTGAGATTTATTTCTGGAGTCCTGCAATTCTAACTTTGCAACTGAATCACAGAAGAAGTATTTGCATTGTTCAAAGAAAACCAAGAAACTCAATATAAAATCACATCCGATAGAGATTTTAAAACACCGCATCTATCCTGGATTTTTCATTTCAGTGTGGGGGTGATGACTCAATCAGGGGGAATGCCTCCTTCGAATGGATTCCCCTATCACACTTCCCACAAAAGACAGCCTGGGGCAGAATTTAGCACCACCATCCACATCACAGAGCAGCTGGCCAGGCTGGGCCCGGGATAAAAGAGCTCACCCACAGCCTCCCAGATCAGATATTTCCTCCTAAAACAAGACATGGCTGAGATAACCTAAGACTTAAGAACCATTTATTTTAAACCAAAAGATGAGCTTCCAAAGTGCTTATTTGAACGCCTGATAATGGGTAATGAAAACGCTGTCTTATGGAGATGATTTTATGCTCCTTCTGCCTCTAGGAAAGATTTTCTTTCTCCTTTCTTATCGCAAAGGCTCAGAACAAATTCTCATTGTTATTTGGAGAGAGTGTCCCAGTTCCTCTCGTGCCCTGAAAACACTGCAGCTGCGGGATGTTGGCGTTATCGCCAAATGGAAATAGCAGGCGGGGCAACAGGCCTAGGACTCGCAGATCATCATTCCCAAGGCCCACTTTCCCTCTGCAGCCCCAGCCTCTCCCCGGGCAGGTGGGCCAAGCCCTTCAGCTCTGGCAGGTCAGAGGTTGGTGGTGGAATCTGCCTGAGAAGCCCCTCCAGCTCTGCAGCCTCCTGGGGTTTCTTTCTGAAAACAAAAGGGCAGTGTGTAATCTCTGCAGAAGCAAAGGCCAACCAGGTGGATAAAAATGTTGGAACAGGGAAGGACTTGAAGCATTAGAAATATCAATAGAGCAACCAAAAATAATAGAGATAAGGCTTGGAAAAGGCAAGGGAAGAAAGGGCATAAACATTTATGGAGCATGGCTTCCTCTACTTCCCCTTCTTCCCAACCTCACCACTGCCCCAGCCTGGACACTGCCAATTGCTCACTTCTACTAACTTACTCTCCAGTCCCACAGCCTCACCTCTGCCAGCCACTCTGTCCTCAACCCGGAGTCCAGGGAAATCTGCTGTACTGAGAGGGAATTCAGTTTTGTTTGTAGAAATGTTTGCAATCTTTTCACAAGATGAGCCAGAATTAAACATAAGATAGTAAGGGTTCTCAAAGAGAAGCAGTCATTATAAGGCCCAAACAACTAGAACATTACAATCACTCCCTTTCAGTTCCACTAACAGGAACACAAAGGCTCCTGTACTGCCTTTCTATCCCAGTCCTGGGCAGTGAGTACTTGGGGAGGACCAGAGAAGTAATCCATCCAAGGCCATCTGGATAAGCAGAGGGCAGGACTGGGACTTGAACCCAGATCTGTTGGATTCCAAAACCTACTCTCATTGCATTGTCCTTCCTTTCTCGCTTATTGGACTAGATAGGCCAACTTTTTCTCATCTCTATTATGCCCACAGCTAGTTTTCTTAACATCCTGTGTGTGTCTACAGACAACTCTAGTAGTGGCTTCACCCAGGACAGTTGATCTCGGGTTTGGGGTAGCCAGCTAACAACTCGGATGAGTAGTGAGTCGGGCTATGACCAAAATTGGCTATAGAATTTTGAATCTAGGCTCAACTTGGCCCACCAGTGGTCCTCCTAGTCTGCTCCCCTCCGTCTGTGTTTTTCTGTAGAATAATTTAAACGGCCACTCCCACCACCACTACCCACCACAGGTGATGAATCTTGATATTCTAAGTCTTGAAGGTAAGTGGCAGAGCCAGTTAGCACCCATGCATGCTGCCTTGGCTAGCCCTGCTCCTCCTCCCTCCACCACCCAGAGGTCTGGAAGTTTCTCTTCACCTTCCCAAACTAAATAAAAAGTCCACTAATCATTGTCCTATGGGTAGTATTCATAAATATCACTCCAAAACAAGAAAGCCAAAACACCAAAAGAGAGCAAATCAAACCCTTTGGCACCCACTTCCTTCCAAACACCAGACTGGCCCCTGGGAGCTCTAGGAGCATTTGGGAGGAGCTGACAAGTCCCAAATGACCAGCTTGTGAAAAACTCCCACTGTCTCATGCACCCAGCAGAGACATCACTAACATTACTCTTCTAATTATTACTCATAAATATCTCCTAGGATTCTTTTTTAAGTTGTAAATGTTATGCAATAAATTATATTTTGGGGAGAAGCAAAAAGAAGCCTTAGTTCTAATGATCTGGAAGTTGGCAAAATGAGTGCAGGAACACCTCCCAGGGAAAATTTCTTCTCTGTGCAGGGGATTTAAACAGGTGTTAATATTTCCTTCCAGAAAACAGAATATATTAAGGTTTATATGAACCTGATGATTGCAGAGGCTTGGGTTCATGAGGTAGTTTATATATTGAGGTAATGTTTTGTAAGTAATAAAATGTGAATACTCTAACTTTCTGTTCTCAGGGTGTTCTGTGGGGAAAGGGAGGTCACTGTTGTCCTTGACCTTAAGACTGATTGCCTGATGAGCTAACAC